AACAATATGTTTCTTCTGCTACGCTTTACGTATGGGACTCATATCATTCGTATCTAACCCCTGGTGGGTGTTGCCGATTGAATTTTTCATGCAAGGTCCAACCTATGCATTGTGCTACACAACAATTGTTGCCTATGCGAGTGCAGTGGCACCAGAAGGAGCTTCAGCAACCGTTCAAGGTATTGTTGCAGGTATGGATGATGGTTTTGGATTTTCAATCGGCAGTTTAATAGGTGGATTTCTGATGAAATCCATTGGAGGTGCTTTATCTTTTAAAGTTTTTTCAATAATGGCCTTATGTTGCTGCATTGTACATTGCATTTTGTACTTTACTGTCCTTAAGGACAGAATGGGGACACACAAAAGTGTTTTGCAAAAGACTCTTGAGAGCAAGGAAAAGGGGCAATATGAAACACCACAAGTAGCCTTATCACAAAAGCAGGACCATGCTTAGGTGTCTTCCATAAATGATATAGTATATCATTGGTCATACAATTATTAGTTTTTATGTGTACATATAAATTATTTATTGTATATCTTGTAAAACATTCAAAATTTTAATTCACTAGACATGCATAAATTTTTATTGTAAATATTAGTTGATCATATTTATTTTATCACTTTCGATATATTTCTTTGGTCTTGGTTTTTGACCAAAAATTTTATGAAGAATCAAACTCTATTATATAATATTAAATATAAATGTATATATATATATATATATATATATATCAAATTATTTATAAAAATTGTAAAAAATATAGGTATGTATTCTTATACAAATTAATATATTTATATTTTTAAAAAGAACATCAGTTTTAATACACAACATTTTTGCGCACAGAAATAATCAAAATTATTAAAAAGAAAATGCTTTCAAATAACTTTGGACTGAATTTCCACGATATTACAAATTATATTTTGACTACACGAAGAACAGTTTTTCAATCTTCAACATTAGTTAAGACTTTTGCTAAAACGAGATGAAAAATTTTACACTTCTTTGAAATGATTCAGAATGACTTGAAATGTCGAGAAAACGTAAAATTAGCAATACTAATCAAGATAAAGTAAACTTTCCTTTGGTTGAAATAAAAAACAAATAATTACATTATTTTTTTGTACGTTTCGACTTCATGCGTGTCATCATTCAGCGTATTTTAAACAAATTCACACCAGAAAAAAACAACATAATATGAAAAAACATTTCAGAAAAAAAAAAAAAAATAAAATATTTAAATAAAAGTTAAAAGAAGAAGAAAAAGAATCCAATTTTCTTGTTTAACTTTTGTTAAATATTTTATTTTATTGTTGTGTTTCTTTGAAACAATGTTTTTTAATATTATGTATTGTGATTTTCCTGGTGTGATTTTGTTTAAAATATGCTGAATGATGGCACACATACAGTGTCGAAATGTACAAAATAAATAGTATAATTATTTATTGCCTTTTTACTCTTATATATCTGAATGTATATAAATAAAATTTTTGGGCATCATTCAATAGTGAAAAGAATTTATTGAAGCCTTTATTAGAATAGCATACGTTTCGAACCTTGGTTTAACTCATCTTCAGTGCATATAAATCAAACAATTCCAAAAATGAGACTAAGTACTAATTATTATGTACACATAGTTATAAAACAAAAACTAAGTATGTATATAAAATAAATAAAATAAAATCATTTTGTATCTGAAGAGCTCAACATGGTCCGACACAAAAACAAAGGACACAAAACTGTGTCCTTTACAAATATTTTTTATTTTATTAGAAGATGAGTCAAACCAGGATTCAAAACGTAGGCTATTTTAATAAAAACGTTATTCTTCATTAAATTTTTTATTATTGGATGAATGCCCAAAAACATTTCCCCATATATCTTTCACTATCTGAAAAACCCCACAGATTATATCTATTTCAATTTAGATCCATCACATGGGGAATACAGATAATTAATTCTTATAAATATTATCAAAATTAATTTTGTAAACGTAATGACACGTGCCGTTTGGTCTCTAATTTTTATAGATTCGTGTTTGCTTATAGATTAATTTGTATATAAAGTTGCCAAGATTTTAACTAATTGCTATAATTATCTCTGCTAAAATAAAACAGATCACTGCGTTTCGCCTGACATGATTTGTTATTGTAAAAAACTTGTTAATACAAACATAATAATAAACTGGGTGTTAGTGACATGTTGCCTTAAGGCAAGTTGCCGATACTTCGACATCATCATTGTTCGAAACTTTATTTGATTTTTATAGTTCAATCATTTAGGACTATAATATTTTAGGGGGCGTCCATTAATCAGGTAATAGAATTTTAGACCCCACACACCCCCTGGTGATACATTGTGACATTTAAAATTAATCACCCTTCCTCCACAAAATATCACGTGTATTTTTAGTTAAGTAAAATTTCTCGAATTCACGAAAATATCGTAAAATTTTTGATTTTTTTTTAATTTAGGTAAAAAATAAATACACGTGATATCTTACTAGACCCCTCCATCCCCCTAAAATCCTTCGAGATCATGTTTACATTTTTGTATATTCTCAACGAATTCTTAAACTATATATTTTCATATATATATTATAATATATTTTCATATATTTTCATATGTATATTATCAAGCCCCCTTAAGACGATCGTCAGATTATGAACTTTTTTACGAAGAAATGGCCCGGCTGATCTTCGTCAAAAACTATAATCACCACAATTTTCAAAATATTATATCTTCCTAACGGTTTTTAAATTTTCGCCATGATAAAATGTATTATCTAAGTGTAAGATGATAACATAACATGATACGAGTTTTTCCTTTATCAATATCACAATTAGTATAATTGTAGTGATAATGTTATAAAAACGATCTTATAATAAAACAGACATCAGTTACAATTATCTCGTAAATTAATTGCACAAAATAAAAAGTAGGAAGATAAAATAAAGATAAGGTTATTTTTAGATAAAAGATACACTTAGTCATACTTGTGAATAGTCAGGATGACAAATTTTAAACTAGCTGTAAGTGGAATTCTGTCTTAAGGCAATTAAGGCATCGTGCCTTAAGGGCAAATTGCTGGAACTTCCCGTACCAAAATCTATTATTTTTTTAAAAACTATTAACATTTTTGAAAAAAAATTACTTTGAAAAAATAAGATTTTTGAGAAACTATAAATTGGACAAAAAATAACTTTTTAATGAAAAAAACATTTAAAAAAAAAAAAAATTAATAATTTTTTTTTTTTTGAAAACAATTTTTTTTTCTTTATTTTGACATATTGTAGAAGATCTGAACTTTTGATACAAATACTTTAGATACAAATTTTTGTTGACGATTTCGGGAACACCGATCAACCGATTTGAATAATTAAAAAAACATTCGATTCGTATTGATAAGGAGACGTGCTGATTAGTTTTTGGCGAAGGCAGGTCTAGCCGTTTCGGAGATACGGGGCAAAAAGTGCCAAAAACGGTAACTCAGTTTTTAAGAGAACGGAGCTTCCGATTTGAATAATTCAAAAAACATTTTACTTGTATTGACGAAATGAAGAACTGATTAAATTTTTGGGAAGGCAGGTCCAGCGGTTATGGACTGTCAATAAAAATATGTAAAAAAAATGTCATTTGGCGGTCAAAAATGTTTCTACTGTAGAAGCATGAATTTTGCCCGGTTTTTGAAGCGCTGTATAAAGGAAACAAATAATATTTTTACTATCGATTTTTTTTATCATTTGTTTATTGATATTTTATTATTACATAAAAAATTATTAAAGATAAAAAATTAGAATTCACAAAGTTATGAGCAGTCAAAGTGGGGGCTCAAAAAAAAAGAGGGTGTCCTGGCGTGCATGATTCCAACCCCTCCGGGTGATCCAAAACATAAAAAATAGATGGATTCTTAATTATTATAGATGCCGCTATCGTATGAACCTTGGATAAGTTAAAAAAATATTTTTTGTTTGAATGGCGGCAGTTTGAAAAAAAAATTTTTTTCATGTTTTTTTTAACAATTCCGAATTTGTAAAAAATACTAAATGAAAAGTTATAGTCTTGGGAAAGGTCCATGCGATAAAGCGATGTATAGAGAAGATCTTCTCCAAATTTGAAGTAAATCGGTTCATTAGAACTCGAGATATCCTTACCGCCAGCTTGAAAAAAGTAGTTCCGAGAAAAACGCGTTAAAAGTTTTTAGACTCGGTCGGACCCGAACCGAGGCCATGTCACTAAAACGGATATAACTCAGGAAATAATAGTAATTTTGAAAAATCCTTTTAATGACATGTTTTTGAATAACTAAACTTTGAAAATATGAAAAAAAAATTTTGGCACTTCAGGCACGATGCCATGCGCCCCACTAGTTCCGCTTATATTCTTGTACCGTAGAACCGCTCCCCGGTGTTTTGTAGCGTACTAACAGATGTCTGCGCCGCAGCTCACGCTCGGCGAGAGCGACTATTATTATATCTGCACGTCGTGAAACATAGACCGTTCTCGGTTAGGCAACGATTTTTCGCCCGTAGAGCATACTTACCTGGCGTGGGGGCTACCGTGATCACTAAGGCGGTTCCCCCAGGGCGAGGCCCTTCCATTGCACTTTCGGTTGGGCTGACCCCTGCGATTGTCCCTAATGTGGATAACTCGGGCGCGTAATTTTTGGTAGTCGGGACTGCGTACGCGCTGTCCCGGTAATAATAAACTTATCATAGAAAACATAAAACTGAAGTGTAAAACGCCGACCAATGGGTTGCAGACAGCTGAAGACAGGACTTAACTCAAAGTTTTACTTCAAATATAGGCATGTTGGGTATCAAACGAAAGGTCTCGACGAGCACTACACAAATATCATACTAACTAAGCCAATATGTCGTATAAACTATTTGTAAAATCATTTCTTTTCTATTTGAAATATACCAAGTTGATATATAGTTATGATATGTTATAAGAAAGAGTAGATCATTGAGTTTAGAACAAATTTACCGAATATTTCATTCAAATCGGACGAACCGTTCAAAAGTTACAAGGGATGTAACGGAAGCCGACCAATGGGTTGCAGAACCCGAAGACAGACATAACTCGGAAAGTTTTACTTCAAATATAGGCATGTGGGGTATCAAACGAAAGGTCTCGATCCCCTATCCATTACCCCTTACCAGGCAGTGTTTAAGTTGTCCTCAATAGCCTCCGGCTCCTCCGACGACAGTTCCAGCAAACAAATAGCATCGCTAACAGCGTTCAGCTCCCGCAGCGCCCTCGTCAGGCGTGTCTCAATAGCTGTACCAGGAGACTTGAACTGCTTGAATTTGTCTTGAACTTCTTCGAAGCGCCCCAGGAGCAAGGTCATCTGCTCCTGCAGCCTGAAGGCTGCTTCGTGTTTTCCTGCGAGTTTTAGACTTCTATCTGCTCAGCCTTACTTTTAGAGTTAGTTCTTGAGTCTCGAATTCTTCTAGAAGCCGCTGTAATAAAGGACTTTATACTTATTTATCTATGAGTGTATGTATAGAACTAGACCCCTAGACAATATAATAATACTACCAAAACTAGACCTACGCGTGAATGGCAT